CGCACGCGCGACCCCCTCATGCGGGCGAGCAGCTCCTCCGCACCCCGCGCGCGCCGCGCCGCGGCGGGGTGCACGGAGGGCGGGGCGGCGGCGCTGCCGAGGAGGACCCCGCGCGCTCGCAGTGCTCCCCGCACGCGCCGACCCGAGCCACGGATCTGTGGACCTGGCGCGGGGGGCGCGGGGGCGGCGAGGAGCCCCCCCCCCCCCGAAGCACGCAGCCAGCGCGGCCTGATTGGGCGACGGTGCACGTCGACTTCGTGAAGAAAAGGGGGGGCCCGTCGCTACCACGCGCAGTGATCCTCGCCCCTGCCTGCGATTCCTCGACCAGTGGAGCCAAGGAAAATCATCGCGAGGAGCACGGGGGGGGGTACTCCTGATGGTGTGGCCCCCCTGTCATGCGGTGCACCGACTGAAACATTCCCATTCCTCCAGCTCGGGGAGGCACCGTGGATCTCTTCGCCCGAAATGGCCCTTGCCCCGAATAGTACGGCCGGAACCACGACAACAAGAACATCCGTTCAGAACATGATACCCTCCGCCGGCCAGAACACCCTGGGGGGCGCAAGAACTTCCAACCCCATTCCCAGCCTTCGTGGGGTTTTCGATTGGACCAGAAATCTGGGGCCCGACCCTGGGATATACGATGGGGCGGTGTCCATCCTCGATAGGGGTGCGTCCGATTAGCCCCCTGGGGGTGTATCCCAGAATTTCCCTCTTTTACTGAGCGGCAGGGCTTTTTTTGTGGCAGAACTCTGGGATTGAACAAGGAAAATCGCCTGCGATCTCGGGCAGAAAAAGGCATCATGACGCGATTATGTTTGCCAGCTTCGGCCTCTGCAAGCCGCCTGTGGGCTTCAGAGCCGTCGAGCCATTATTGATGGGCCTGTTTTCCACCACCACCACAATAAGCTGGAGGGGGGGAGGAGGAGGAGGAGGAGGAGGAGGAGGAGGAGGAGGAGGAGGAGGAGGAGGAGGAGGAGGAGGAGGACCCCTTCCCCCTCCAACTTATGGTGGTGGTGGTGGAAAAGAGGCCCATCAATTATCCTGGACACACAAATAAAAATATTCCCCATATGTTCCCATATTTTCTGGGTTTCTGTCTTCCCCCCCACTTCCCATATTTTCCCATATTTTCTGGGGAATCGAGGATTAATTGTGTCTGTGTGTTTCTTTTCCTCCTGAAACATAACCGACCGAGCCGGAATCGACCGAACGTGACCGACTGCGACGCAGCCGACCCGACCGAATCGCGAACACCCTTGGTTGGCGGCGCGCGCGAGGCGGTGGAGGGGAGGGAGGGGCACTTCTTGGAAGGAGGCTGCGTCTTAGAGGGCGCGGGCCTTGCATCCGCAGAGAATGCCCGCGCCTCCTGAGAAGCAGGGGTGCTTCCGAGAAGCCCTCACCCCTCTCCGCACCTAGAGGCCTCCTAGGTGAGGTCCGCGTAGATGGGCCGGAGAATGGCGCCGCATCGCAGACGCATCGCACATACATCGGCGATGCATCGATGACGATCCGGCGACGTCGGCCATGCATCGGCGACGTTGGCGTGGAACAGATCTGCCTCAACACCGAGCCGCATCGCCGATGCATCGGCAATGCGGCGCGATCCTCCGACCCCGTCTACCCAGACCCCATCTGGGAGGCCTACAGTGAGCGGCTTGAGTAAGGAACACTTACTTTGCTCGGTCGTTCCTTAGGCTTGCATGCGTTAGTTACAGTTCTTTATGCGTTATGTGTTATTTATTGTTCCTTATGCGTTATACCTTGGGATAAAACAGGGGCTTCGTTCCTTATGTATCGTTCCTTAGGTCAGGCCGATGACTGTAGATCACCCCCCCCTGCGCGCGGCTGACTCGAGGGGGCTCGGGAGGCTGAGTTCTGCAGCGCACAAGACCTCGCAGTCGCCCGGGCTGCATACGTTGTCGCACCGGGCGTCGGCGTGCGGGCACGAGCGCTCGGGAGGGCAGGCCGCAACGGCACTGCCTCCCCTGGACTGGACAAGCGCGCTCCACTGCTCGCGGAGTAACGACTCGCAACTGGCCTCGATCCGCCGCGGGGGCTTTACGATAGATTGCATCGAGGCGAACAACTATGATTCGAACATTTGCGAGTGGGCACTTTGCGAGTGGGCACTTTGCGCGCTCGGTGATGTACGCATTCTTCGGATTTTGACCTTCGAAACCGATCTCTCAGACGACCTTGCCTTGCCGGTGCAAGGTCCTTCCAAGGCTACGGCTGCGCAGTCACAGCGGGTTCACGTCGCGTTGACAGGTCCATTTCAAGCTGTGCTTTGTTGTTCTTCTTTGGGCGGGCCCTCGTCCAGTTCACTTGATCCGCCTTCCTACGTCATGTTTCCACCTGCTTCTTCCGAACTGCGGGCAGGAGTCTAGGGAAGGTTCAGGTGCCTCCAGGGCAGGAGAGCCCGGAATCGAATCGATAACTCGGATCGGCGATCGAAATGAATCGGATCGGCAGAAATCGGCGGCCGAGTCGGGAAAAGTCGAATCGGCAGAAATCGGCAGGCTAGTATGTCTCCAAGAAGAACTCGGAACCCAAATCGGAATCCCAAGTCGAATCGAATCGGAATCGGAAGCAATCGAAATCGAATCGAATCGACTCGGAGGAATCGAAACGAGCCCTGCCAGGGGGAGGCGAAGCGGAAGGACGAGCAGGGGGGGCGAGGAGAGCCGGGCGCGGGCCATGCTCGGCGGCGTCGTGGGGCGGGCAGCCGGCGATGGCGTCGTTGGGGGAGCGACGCGCGAAGGCGGCGAGCGAGTGGCGGCAGATCAGCTCCCAAGAGATGGCCCAAGATGACTTCCAAGACGGTCCTCGTCCTCCTCCTCCTCCTCCTCCTCCTCCTCCTCCTCCTCCAGATGGCCCCAATGTGCCTCCACGACGGCCCAAGATGCACCCAAGACGGCCTGAGATAGCCTCAAGATGGCCTCAGACGGCCCAAGAGGCCCCCAAGAGGCCTCCCAGACGCTCCAAGAGCTCCTCCAGGACCCCAGAGGCTCGCGCCTCTTTGCCCCCTCCCCCCCCCCCCTCCCCTGACTGCACGAGCACGCGGCATGCTCGCGCCGCGTTGTCGCGACAGCGACACGAGCTTCTTAAGCCTTCCCCGAGACACACAAGAACACCTCGCAGGAGACGCGAGGGCTTCGGAAAGTCCCGCCGCCTTCTGAGAAGGCCTTCTCCTTCTCGCTTCCCCCCCTCGTGCGGGCAAGATTTATATCCATATCCAGTGCGCCTTCTATTTTTGTTGGAAGGGGCGCCACAAGGCCGAGGTGCACTGGACATGGGTAAAAGTCGAGCCTCCAGGGGGCAAGATTTATCCATGTACGGTGCGCCTCGGGCTCCTGGCGAAGGGAGCCCGAAACTCCATACTGCAGTGGACATGGACAGAAGTACTGCTCCCACCTCGCTCGCCGCCGAGTCTTCGTCCTCACCCCCCTCCTCCTCCACGGCTAGGGGGTCAAATGCGAATCCGACCCCTACCCCCCACGATTTCTGAGGGGGAGGGTGGGGTTCACTCCGTTCGGGCGCTCCCGAGCGAAGTGAACCCCACCCCAACCCATCAGTTATCGGGGGAGGTAGGGGTAGGGTTCGCATGTGGCCCCCTAACGGCGGCTCCAGCGAGCGGGTGCGCTGCTGGCACCGCGCCACCGGTGGCCCTTCCCGTGCGCCCGCGCGGGGAGCCCGCGCGGGGAGGCGACGAGGCAGCCGCCGCCCGGCCTCCCCGCCGGGTCGATCGAGGGTCGATCGAGGATCGGGGATCGAGAATCGATCGAGGCTCGAGGATCGATCGAGGATCGAGGGTCGATCGAGGATTGATCGAGGACCGATCGAGGGTCGATCGAGAATCGATCCTCGATCCTCGATCGAGGGTCGATGGAAGATCGAGAATCGATCGAAGATCGAAGATCGCGGGAAACCAAAAAGTACCCATACCGCTTCGGGGATCTTCTGACCCGGGTCAATCCAGACCCGGGTCATTCAAACCTTGCAAAATCCTGCAAGATCCTGTTCCCAAACCCGGGTCAATGCGAAAGATCCTGCAAGATCCTGCAGGATCCTGCACCTGAACCCGGGTCAATGCGACCCTGTCTCTGTAAGATCCTGCAAAATCCGGCGCTCTGGCTGACCCCCGTTTGCACTGACCCCCGTCTCAAGGCTCCCGTTCGCTACTCCCCAGACCTCCCCCGGGAATCGGTCGAGGCTCGAGGATCGTGGGGAAACCAAAAGGTACCCTACTGCGACTCTCCAGACCTCCCCCGGGGTGCGTTCTGCCTAGAATTTCAGGCCGAATCCAGAGGCGGCGACGAGGGCCTCCCAGGAGGCCCCCCAAACGGGGAAGAACGAGGCAAAGGTAGCGGCATGGGCACCTGATGCTGGTCCTGATGATGATGCTGCTGATGATGATGATGGTGGTGGTGATGATGATGAGAACAGCATCATCATCATCATCATCGTCACCACCACCATCATGATCAGCATCATCAGCATCAGTATCAGCATCATCATCAGCATCATCATCGTCATCAACGTCATCATCATCGTCATCGTCATCGGCATCGCCATCGTCATCATCAGCAGCATCATCAGCATCATCAGCATCTTCAGCATCATCCTCATCAGCAGCATCATCAGCATCAGCATCAGCATCATCTGCAGCATCGTCATCAGCATCAGCATCAGCATCAGCATCAGCATCAGCATCAGCATCAGCATCAGCATCAGCATCAGCATCATCATCATCATCATCATCATCATCATCATCATCATCATCATCATCATCATCGTCAGAGGAGCAATCGAGAATCGGAGGATCGGAGAGTCGGCCTCGGCCGCAGGCTCGGGGCGCGCCCCCGGCGCTTGCGGGCGGCCCCGCTCCTCCGTGCGGCGCAGCGCCGCGCTGCCTCCTCGGGCCCAGGCCAGGCCTGGCCCTCCCGCTCGAGCAGGGGATCGACTACAGCAGTGACCCGCCCCCAAAGTGGTTTTCGTCGAGTCTACAAACAGATGCACACGCGGTTCCGCAGAGCTGTGGCGCACTCTGCGCACTTTGATTCGTAGCTTCGACGGCACACAAAAGACATATCATTACGGGGCGAATCAATTCTGCTGCCGATCCCCTGCTCGAGGGAAGGCCAGCAGGCCCGGGACCGAGAGGGCCGCGCTGCGCGGCGCTGCGCCGCAGAGGAGCGGGGCCTCCCGCGAGCGACGGGGACGCGCCCCGAGCCTGCGGCCGAGGCCGATCCTCCCATCCACCGATCATCGATCGATCCTCGCTCCTCGATCCTCGATCGATCCTCGACCGCCGCGCTTCGGTGCCTGCTTCGGTGCCGGTGACGGGCTAGGCTCAACGCCGCCTGGGGCCTCGCCCGGTGCTCTCGCTCCGTCCGTAGGCGGCCCGACGTGGCTCCCGCCTCCCGCCTCCTGCCCCCCCCACTGCCCCCTCCCCCGTGCCTCGCCTCCTCCTCCTCCTCCTGCTCCTCCTCCTCCTCCTCCTCCTCGTCCTCGTCCCCAGTATACTCTTTTATTCACGTTGGCCATACAGTCAACCCGTGGGGTAAGGCGGCATCATCAGGATGCAAGGGCCTCCTGGAAGGTCATGTACACATTTTGCTGGCGGGGCGCGGCCAGCGAACGCCGCCACGGATGGGCCGAAGGGGATGGATGGCAGGGCACATCTAGGAAAATCACTCATCCTTACTGTGCGGGATGAATGTCCATACGCATCGAGGCTGCTACGTTCGCCAGGTGAACAGGACATAAGAGTTCCGACTTTGCGAAGCGCGAAGACAAATTGAGGCTGCTGCCAGTGCGGGCACAAGAAGGGCTCCCCCGTCTACTCCTCCTCCTCCTCCTCCTCCTCCTCCTCGACATCGTGCCCTTCCCTCATCAAACAGAGCTCTGGAAAGAAACATCTCGCGGCTCCGCCTCAGACCAGGGAGCATGCCGCGGATGCGAGAAGAAATGCCATCGGGAAGAACACGCAAGGACGTGGCCGCACAGGCGGGGATAGGCCAGGCAGGCATGGGTCTGAAGACAACCTCGACGTCGTTCTCCACTCCTCACTCCTCTTCTCCCCTCTTTCGCCCGCGCGCGCAGGAGTGCGCGGGAGGAGCGAGGATGTCGGAGGAGGACGGGCAGCCACAAAAATGAGTAAGAATGCAGTGTTCAATCGAGGTGAAGAAAAGGGGGATGTCGGGATGAAAACGGGAGCGAAAAAGGGATCTGACAGAACAAAAGACAGGGCGAGGGGAAGAAGAAGGGGGGAAACAGGGGGGTAGAAGAGGGGAAGAGGGGGTAGGAACAGTGGGAGAAAGGAGAGAGAGGGAGAGCGAAAGAGAGAGGGGGAAGGGGGACGAGAGGGGAGGGAAAAAGGTGACTCGAGAAAGAGGGTGGTGGTGGGGGGGGGAAAGGGGGAATAGAGGGAGGGGGAGAAATAGAGCGAGAGAAAGAGAAAGAGAGAGAGAGAGACGAGGAAGACAAAGTATCGGGATGCGCGCCCGCATCGTCCCCAGACCTCCGACGTAACGTTGTTCGATATCCCCCCCCCCACCCGGACATATCCAGCCCTTCCCAGAGCCCGCTTTCGTCGCGGTTCCCTTTCGTTGTTCACGCAGAGGCCCGAAACAGGGCTCCAGAGGCAGAAACCGTGGACACCATTTGCCCCCCTGCTTCTCATGACGTTGAAGGCCTGGGTCGCTGGAAGAAGAAGAAGAAGACAGATCTGCACAAACAGTAATCGCTGGAGGCCCACGCGGACCCCACGAGTCCTTCGGTAACGAATCATGGGAGCCTCGAGTACCCTTCGGGGGTGGACAGACCTTCGGTGTACCCTTCGGGGGTGGACAGACCTCCTACCCTTCGGGGGTGGACAGTCCTTCGGTGTACCCTTCGGTATACGAAATTCGTGTTTGTGCAGATTGGTCTTCTTCGAGGTCCAGGCCACGGCTCCCGACCCCCTCCAGCGCGCCCGTCCAGTGCACGGCTCTGCTGCAGGCGGCGATGGCGGTGTTGTGCGACACGGTGCTACGAGCCACGCCTCCCTCGTCGCCCATCTGGCCGAAGAGCAGTAGCGCGCGCTGCCACTGCTCGCCTGCCCCACCGATAGAAGACTCCTAGATGGGGTCGGAGTAGACGGGGTCGGAGAATCGCGCCGCATCGCCGAGACATCGGTGATGCATCGGCGATGCATCGGCGATTCGCCGGCGATGCTTCGACGTCGTCGACGTGAAGCCAATCGGGCTGAACATCGAGCCGCATCGCCGATGCATCGGCGATGCGGCACGATCCTCCGCACCCATTTACTCCGACCCTACCCAGGAGGCCTCGAAAGCAGGGAAGGGGGGAGCAGGCGAAGGAACGGGTTCAAGATCAGGCTGTCTGGAGGTCTCTGGGTCTCTTCTCGGAGGCTCACGGCTGGCCTCCAGAGGTCTCCGGGAGGCCCTGGAGACCAAGGCACGCCAAAGCGTCCTCTCATCCTCCGAAGGGCCCCCGAAAAGATTCTCGATCATCCCAATCATCATGTGTCGTCCTCCGTCCTCCTCCGTCCTGCGTCCCTCCGTCATCCTTCTTCTTTCTCCTCCGCCGTCCTCCGTTCTCCTTCCGCCGTCCTTCTCCTTCTTCCGTCCTCCTGCTAACCTCCTACTCCTCATTCCTCCGACCTTCATCCATTTTCCTTATGAATAACTCCTCCTTTTCCCACCCCAAGACGTTTCCGTGGGCCGGGCCGGGCAATTCGTTTCTGACCTCCTGACCATCCGAATTAGCCCTTAGACTTGGAAGTTGCAACAATTTGACGTATAATGGCGGCTCACTTTCAAAATGTGGCTATCGTCTTAGTGCCGCGCACATTCGCGATAAGTGTCCAAGAGCGTTGCGGATGGAGGGCGGGCTGTTTTCAAAACGTCGCACTCGCCTTATCGCCGCGCGCACTCGCCTGAAAAAATCGCAAGAACTTCACGGATGGACGCTTGTTTTTTGTGAAATGTGGCTATCGCCGTAGCGCCGCGCACATTCGTCTTAAAAGTTTGCAAGCTTCAAGGATGGAAAGCATGTGGCTTTTAAAATCTGGCGCTCGCCTGAGAGCCGCGCACGTTCGTCCTAAAAGTGTGCGAAAACACGCACGCACACATGGAGGGCGGGCGGTTTCAGAACGGGGTCCTCGCCGTGGCGCCGCGCACACTCGTCTTAACCGTCTGCAAAGAGTTACAAGCTACACGCACGGAGGGCGGCTTCTCTTCATACTGCGGCTCTCGCTCCCGCGCCGCGCACACTCGCAGCCACTAGATCGCAAGAGCTTCACGGATGGAGGGCGATTCATGTTCAAAATGTGGCTATCGCCTCAGTGCCGCGCGCATTGGTGTTAAAATGGTCTCAGGGCTTTACGGATGGAGGGCGGGCCGTTTTCACAAACGTGGCTATCGCCTCATCGCCGCGTGGACGCGCCTAAATGGTTTCGCTCTCGCTCCAGCTCCGGGCACATGCATTCGCCATTAAACTTTGTCGGAGCTTCTCAGATGGCGGGAGGTTTCCAAAACGGGGCTCTCGCCTTAGCGCCGCGCGCATTCGTCGTAAAAGTCTGCAAGAGCTTCGAGGATGAGGGCGAGCGGATTTCACAATGTGACTCTCGCCTCAGCGCCGCGCACAGTCATCTTGAATATGTGTACGAGCTTCACGGATGGAGGGCGGGCGGTTTTCAAAATGTGGTTCTCGCCCTAGCGCCGCGCACATTCGTCTTAGATACTTGCAAGAGTTACACACATGCGCGGGAGGGGAGGCGGGCAGTTTTCAAACTGATACCTTCGCCTTAGCACCGCGCACGTTCGCCTTGCGAGGTGTCTGTTTCTGGGGTTCGTATGGCTGGAGCACCAGAAGTTATATTTCGGCACGTTGAGGGACTGTCTGGGCGTACTTGCAATTTTGAATCAATGTGTTGAAATCCCAAGAATGGCGTTCGTGCACGATTCAGGATCGTCAGGACCCAACACTAACGTTGATTCGCGGCGAGGACGCCCCAGGAATAGGGTGCTGGCACGGTTCAGGAGTTTGAAACGGCGGTCTTCCAACGAGGCACGTACAGCATCGAACAAATGTTTGTAGTGACCTGGGAGGGTTGATTGCAACTGTACTGATAAAGCTGTGGGCTTGCACTGGTCTTCCCTCCTCCTCCTCCTTCCCTGGTCCCCTCCACTCCTCGTTTGCTCCTCCAGTTGGCTGTATGATGTGTCGCCTTGCTGCAGGTGTTCGCCACCTGTCTGGTGTTCGCCAACTGTCTGGTCGCCAACGGTCAGAAACCGTTTGAGCCTCCAAGCACCCCACCCTGGCAGTGGTGACCTCGGGGAGGGACGGGGGGAGGACCCCGTCCAAGGCCACCCACTTACGGTGGGTCAAGCATTTCGGGGATTCGAATGGAAGAGGCCCTGTGGTTTTATCTCGGGTCCCGCCGTTCCTGGGGGCAAAACCCGCCCCTAAGGACGAACCCTGCGGGTATCCTCCGAGCGTCCGGTTCTTCGGGGAGGACCCGGGGCTGAAGCTCTAGGCGGAATGGCCCTCGACCAGGTGACAAAAGCCCAAGCAACCAAAGCTCGGCGATCGGATGCGGCCGAATTGTTGTTGGCCGAGTTGGGGAGGGGGGGGGGACGTGCCGCGTCCCCTGGGGTGCTCGTTACCACCCCAGAGTGCACAGAGGGCATCCCCGCTGCTCATCTGATCGCCCCCCCCTCATTGTTCAACTCTCGCGCGCCCCTTTCTGACCTTCCCCTGCCCCCCGCCCCTTTTACGAGATCAGTCAACCTCCTCATCCCTCCTTCGTCCTCATCCTCTCCCTTGTTATCCTCCTTCTCCTCCTCCATCTCCTCCTCCTCCTCCTCCTCCTCCTCCTCCCCCTGGTGCTCTTCGTCTCCTGTTCCAGTTCTCCCGGTCAATAACTCGGCAGCTGCACAGATGCAGGGCGGCCTCGGCTCGAGACGTCCTCGATGCTCCCAGCCAGGAGTGTAAACTCGTGCACCCGATGCACGTGGATGGGGGGCGGCTCCTTCTCAAGAAGGGGAGCTCGCTGGACACCTCCTTGAACTGCATGGAAGATGCAAGCCTGTCCATTTTCAAAACTCGGGGATGGACAGAACCCCCTTTAGTAAAACGTGGTTTAGTGAAAACGACCTGAGGCCCAAACCTGGCGGGCGCAAGCCTGGAAAATAACGGCCGCGGCGCCATCTCGAGAACCGAAAACGGACAATTCACTAATCGACGTGTCACTGTTGGGGGTTCTGTCCGCCCCCGAAAAACGGGACTCTCGCCTGCACGGCAAGCCCGTAGGGTGATGGTCTTTCAAAGGGCGCTTCCTGTCTTGAAGCGGAAGGCCTGTAGTAGAGGGCAGAACATCCACCCCGATGATAACCACCCCGACAAGCGAAGCCGTTCAGTAAACGCACCCCAAACAAGGAATCGAACAGGGCAGGGCTGTTTAGTAAACCCCCAAGGCCGTTTAATGAATGCCAATTGTCCGGTCCGGGTGGTGCTTCCTCCCTTGATGTAGGGACTCCTGGGGTGGACACTCGGGAAGGGGGAGCGTCTTACAGCATCGCTGATGCATCTTGGGTCACTCTGGTTGTCTTTCCTCGAAGGGAAAGCACGGCACACACAGAAACTTCCGAAACTCCGCGCGGATCTCCGAGAAAGTATGATCATGCCGTCTTCTGTTATTCGATCCTCCTCCGCCTCCTCCTCCTCCTCCCCCTCCCCCTCCCCCTCCCCGTCCTCCTCCTCCTCCTCCTCCTCGTCCTCTTTCTCCTCCCCCTCCTCCTCCTCCTCCTCCTCCTCTGCTTCCTCCTCCTCATCCTCTTCCTCCGCGCGGGCCGCCGCCTCGCTCGCACGCGCTCATCGCCGCATTGTAGCCGACGGCGTCGGCGCGGACCTCCGCCTGGGCCGCGGCGCCCGAGCGGACAGCGGGAGACGCCCTGCACGACCAGGCACACGCAAGAGCGGGAGCTCGACCGCAAGAAACCAAACCCTTTGCCTCCAGGAAGTCCATGGATTTCTGGTGTGGGAGTGTCACTGAGAAGGCGAAAACCCACCCCCACCCCCAGTCCCGACTCCATCTCCGAACCCGCGATTCAAGGAGTCGGGACTGGGGGTGGGGGTGGGTTTTCGGGGTCCAGGAATGGACAAAACCCACCCCCACACCCAATCCCGACCCCTTAAATCGCCGGCTCGGGGATGGGCGTCGGGACTAGGGGTGGGGGTGGGTTTTCGCCTTCTGAGTCACGCTTCCAATGTCAGAACCATCGAACACCAGGAAACCCAGGGCACCTTCCTTGGCATGGGCTCCCACTGTGACCTCGAACGCACAAACGGAGCTGCTGTCGCTGGAAGCCCAGCGGACCTGCAAGGGCGGCAGCCCCAGCGAAGGGACCGACCGAGACGCCAAACAACGGGGCCGTGGAAAACCTCGCAGGGACGAACGCGGGTTGACAACTTGGATGCTGATGCTGGGGACCTTCCTGGAGACACTCGCTTCACTCGTGCATCGAAGCTGCATCGAACGTCCATCGATGTGAATCGACCTTGAATCGAACCTGAATCGGCCCTGAATCGAACTCGAATCGAACCGGAATCGAACTGCGGTCGAACTAAGAGTCGAACGGATGCGTTAGCTGGGCCCCAGGAAGGTCCCCCAAAAAGGACGAGGACGAGAAACGGAGACGACGCCAACGCCGAGGACGACGAACGACAACCCCCTCCCTCTGGCAGATGGCCACGATGCCGCCGATGCTCGGCACTACCGACGCGGGGACCCAGCGCGAGGAGCTGGGGGGGGCCTCTAGCACGGAATCTACGACAGCCGGGGGATACGGGATCGCGCCGGTCAGCGCCGAGCGTTTATAAAATGACTCTAACCAATTACATCAGAGGCCCCACCACCCTTTGTGAAGCAATTTGGAACCCACTGGGAACAAAAATCTCGATCCGCACACTCGCGTGAACACTCGCGGGGAACACGCCTGGCTGCGGACGCAAATCTCCGCGGGGCTCACTCAACGACTTCGTCTTTGCCCTCTCCCTGGTTGAGTCCTCTGCCATTGTGGCCGTGAGCCCTTCCGCGGCCACGAGGTCCCCGAATCCCACGGCGGCGTCTAGCTGAACACGGACTTCTCTAGCAAAAGCGAACATATGTTTTTCCCAACCATCCTGTGGTATTGGGTTCTCGTTTTGAAGAGACAGTCCCCGCATTCCTCCTTCTCCTCCTCTTCCCCCTCTTCCCTACCGTCCGCATGCGTTTCGCACACCCAGTACAGCGTTTCGTGGCCCCATAGGGAGCCCCGCCGAAGGTCCCAGTGCTACCGTCCGCATGCGTCCCGCACACCCTGTACAGCGCTTCGTGGCCCCAATTAGGAGCCCCACCGAAGGTCCCAGTGCTACCGTCCGCATGCGTCCCGCACACCCACTACAGCGTTTCGTGGCCCTCCTCTTCCTCCTCCCTGCGTTTCAACCACCCAGTACAGCGCTAGGTGGCCCCAAAGGGAGCCCCACCGAAGGTCCCAGTGCTACCGTCCGCATGCGTCCCGCACACCCAATACAACGCTTCGTGGCCCCATAGGGAGCCCCACCGAAGGTCCCAATGCTACCGTCCGCATGCGTCCCACATACCCAGTACAGCGCTTCGTGGCCCCATAGGGAGCTCAACCGAAGGTCCCAGCGCCACCGTCCACATGCGTCCCGCACACCCACTACAGCGTTTCGTGGCCCTCCTCCCCCTCCTCCTTGCGTTTCACCCACCCAATACAACGTTTCGTGGCCCCATAAGGGGCCCCACCGAAGGTCCCAATGCTACCGTCCGCATGCGTCCCGCACACCCATTACAGCGTTTCGTGGCCCCATAGGGAGCCCCGCCGAAGGTCCCAGTGCTACCGTCCGCATGCGTCCCGCACACCCAGTACAGCGTTTCGTGGCCCCATAGGGAGCCCCACCGAAGGTCCCAGTGCTACCTTACGCATGCGTCCTGCACACCCAGTACAGCGTTTCGGGGCCCTCCTCTTCCTCCTCCCTGCGTTTCAACCACCCAGCACAGCGCTTCGTGGCAGCAGAAGGAGGCCCCGCCGAAGGTCCCAGTGCTACCATCCGCATGCGTCCCGCACACCCAGTACAGCGTTTCGTGGCCTCATAGGGAGCCCCACCGAAGGTCCCAGTGCTACCGTCCGCATGCGTCCCGCACACCCAGTACAGCGTTTCGGGGCCCTCCTCTTCCTCCTCCCTGCGTTTCACCCACCCAGTACAGCGCTTCGTTGCCCCATAGGGAGCTCCACCGAAAGCCCCAGCGCCCCCGCCCGCATGCGTCCCGGAAGCCCAATTTGGCATTTTCGCCCACCCAGTGCGCTCCACCCAAGGCCCCAATTTCACCGTTCGTATGCGTCCAGGAACTGTAATTTGGTATTTTCACCCGCGCAATGCAGCGTTTCGTGGCCACATAGGGGGGCTCCACCGAAACCCCCAATGGGACCGTCCGCATGCGTCCCGGAAACGGGAACCCAATTTGGCATTTTCATTCACTCAGCATAGAGCGATTCGTGGCCCCATAGGGAGCTCCACCGAAGCCCTCAATGGGACCGTCCGCGTGCAGCCTGGAAATCCAATTCGGCACACCACCCACACAGTATGCAGCGCTTCGTGGCCCCATAGGGAGCTTCACCGAAGCAGATATTCAAAATTACGGTACCCACAACTGTATATGGTTGGGACCTTCGCCAGGGTAATTATGGGTATGATGAACAAATGAACACACGCTAGTCTCATACGATGCAGTCGCAAGTGCATTCTCTACGAAAGCGAATATGGATTCACGATCCGTATCCGAGAACGAATATCTAATTCAAATAGATGTAGATGTATACATTATTTGATTGAACTTTCGTTTGTTTTTCTCCCAGCCCGTTCTCATTCAGAAGAAACCTTCGTCGACCCTCCGCAAAGTGGCCCTGGAAGAGCAATGCGCGCAGCGGAGAACACTAGATTCGTCGCCAAATTTGGTCGAACTGCAACGACGATCAGATGCAACACCACCTCGGATTTGAAACAGAAAATCAAGAAGCGGGCAAATAAAAACGCAAGGTGCACCGCATCCGAATCATGAGACGGTCTGGGCATCAACGCGGCAATCTACTTCTAAATTCAAGAGGGCGAGGGCTGGGTCTCGGATTCGACTGGTGATACGTTTTTTTTTTTCTCTCTCTCTCTCTCTCTCTCCCCCTCTCTCTTCTGGACGCAAACACGGATGATTGCAATGAAAGCGTGCCACAGGATGGCAGGTCAAGAACAGGAGCCCCTTCGCAGAAGGCCCAAGGCCTCATTCCCAAGGCCTCATTCCTCGTCCCGGTCCTGGTCGCCCTCGTCCTCCTCGTCGTCCTTGGCCTCTCGCCCTCGCTGTCCTCGTCGTCGTCGTGCTCGCCCGCGTCCGCATCCACTGAAGGGTCCCAGGGACACACACGTAGATAAACACAACTCCCAGGATTCTGGACTCGCGTCTTCTCTCCCGTTTCGAATACTTGCCCATCTTTTCCCGGGAGTCGACGATTATGTGTGTCTGTGCGCTTCTCCCACTCTTGAACAGGGACCGACCGTCCTGGCATTCCAATAGTCCTACCACAAAACATTCTGCGAACCCAAAAATGTCCGAATAACAAAAGCAACGTTCTTCGAACGTTAACCCGATGGGTTAAACCAAGACAGACTCAACCAGAAATCTTCAACAAACATTTCGCGCACACCACAAAAAGGTTATCAGATCATTCCTTGGTAGGCCTATCGGCAGGCCCGGACGCTTCGCCACTGCTTGACACTCCCGATCCGCGCCGTCGTCCGCGTCGTCCGCGCCAACCTCCACCGTCGCCGCCGCCGCCGCCGCCCGCGCCGGGGCCGCCGCCCGAGGGGAGGCGCGCGCCCGCCTCGCGCAGGCGGCCCAGGGCCGCCAGCGCGCGGGCCCACTGCGAGGCCCGGGCCAGCGCGCCGATGGCGGAGTTGTGCTGGGCGCCGGCGCGCGGGCGCTGCGGACGACGACGACGACGACGACGACGACAACGACGACGACGACGACGACGACGAAAACGACGACGACGACGACGACGGCTCGCGAGCGACGAACAGATCCGCACGGTAGGCTCGTGCGGCGTCGGCGCGCGCAGAGGTTTTCGGCACCGCGTCGTCGATTTGTCAACATTCAGCCGGTCGCGGCCCCGATCATTCGAGGCTGAATTCGCGTTACCGTGTCGCTCGGTGCTTCCGCATCGCAGAATTCAACCTTGAACGCCTTCGCCAGCGTCGCCGGCGCGCCAACGCCGCATGAACCTGGATCCGCGCCCTCGCGGTCTGGATTCCGGGGCGCAGTCCTGCAGAAGCGCGGTAGCACGGGTGCCTTCCGCACTGGACGTCCGCAGGAGGCCGCCCCGCATCCGCGGGTTCGCGGCCCAAGGGGCCGGGCCCGCCCGCGAGGCTGCGGATACGGACAGTCATTCCGCCCACGAACGCGGGCGGCCCTCCCTGCCATTCTTCCTCCTCCGTGGGCCTCCTGGAAAAATTTCGTCCCCACGGCTGGATCCGCCTCGGTGAACGGCTGGATCTGCCGAGCGGATTCGAGCCGGGCGGGAGAGCCGCCGTTGTCTCAACCGACCCTTCTCTGAACGACGATGCCTGGAGGATACCTCGCGAAAATGCGGATATGAGAGAAAGACCCACGAATGCACCAACTTTCAACCCTCAATGCAAATTATCCTGGCCAAGGTCCCAACCATCTGCAGTTGTGGGTACCGACATTGTGAATATCTGCTTCGGTGAAGCTCCCTACGGGGCCACGAAGCGCTGCACTGGGCGGGGGGGAACGCTGTACTGTGTGGGTGGTGTGCCGAAGTGGGCTTCCGGGACGCATGCGGACGGTCCCACTGAGGGCTTCGGTAGAGCTTTCTACGGGGCCACGGAGCGCTCTATACTTAGTGAATGAAAATGCCAAATTGGGTTTCCGTTTCCGGGACGCATGCGGACGGTCCCACTTGGGGCTTCGGTGGGGCCCCCTATGGGGCCACGAAGCGCTGCATCGCGTAGGGGAAAATGCCAAATTACAGTTCCTGGACGCATACGGACGGTGGCACTGGGGCCTTGGGTGGAGCCCCCTATGGGGCCACGAAACGCTGCACTGGGGGTGCGGGACGCATGCGGACGGTAGCACTGGGACCTTCGGTGGGGCTCCCTATGGGGCCACGAAGCGCTGTACTGTGTGTGCGGGACGCATGCGGACGGTAGCACTGGGACCTTCGGTGGGGCCCCCTATGGGGCCACGAAACGCTGTAATGGGTGTGCGGGACGCATGCGGACGGTAGCACTGGGACCTTCGGTGGGGCTCCCTATGGGGCCACGAAACGCTGTACTGGGTGGGTGAAACGCAGGGAGGACGGGGAGGAGGGCCACGAAACGCTGTACTGGGCGTGCGGGACGCATGCGGACGGTAGCACTGGGACCTTCGGTGGGGCTCCCTATGAGGCCACGAATCGCCGTACTGGGTGGGTGGAACGCAGGGAGGAGGAAGAGGAGGGCCACGAATCGCTGTACTGGGTGTGCGGGACGCATGCGGACGGTAGCACTGGGACCTTCGGTGGGGCTCCCTATGGGGTCACGAAACGCTGTACTGGGTGTGCGGGACGCATGCGGACGGTAGCACTGGGACCTTCGGGGTGGGGCTCTCTATGGGGCCACGAAACGCTGTACTGGGTGTGCGGGACGCATGCGGACGGTAGCACTGGGACCTTCGGTGGGGCTCCCTATGGGGCCACGAAACGCTGCACTGCGCGGGTGAAAATGCCAAATTACAGTTCCTGGACGCATACGAACGTTGAAACTGGGGCCTTGGGTGGAGCCCCCTATGTGGCCACGAAACGCTGCACTGGGTGGGCGAAACTGCCAAATTGGGCTTCCGGGGCGCATGCGGGCGGGGGCGCTGGGGCTTTCGGTGGAGCTCCCTATGGGGCCACGAAGCGCTGTACTGGGTGGGTGAAACGCAGGGAGGACGGGGAGGAGGGCCACGAAACGCTGTACTGGGTGTGCGGGACGCATGCGGACGGTAACACTGGTACCTTCGGTGGGGCTCCCTATGAGGCCACGAAACGCTGTACTGGGTGTGCGGGACGCATGCGGATGGTAGCACTGGGACCTTCGGCAGGGCCTCCTTATGCTGCCACGAAGCGCTGTACTGGGTGGTTGAAACGCAGGGAGGAGGAAGAGGAGGGCCACGAAACGCTGTAGTGGGTGTGCGGGACGCATGCGGACGGTAGCACTGGGACCTTCGGTGGGGCTCCCTATGGGGCCACGAAGTGCTGTACTGGGTGTGCGGGACGCATGCGGACGGTAGCACTGGGACCTTCGGGGTGGGGCTCTCTATGGGGCCACGAAACGCTGTACTGGGTGTGCGGGACGCATGCGGACAGTAGCACTGGGATCTTCGGTGGGGCTCCCTATGGGGCCACGAAGCGCTGTACTGGGTGGGTGAAACGCAGGGAGGACGGGGAGGAGGGCCACAACGCTGTGCTGGGTGTGCGGGACGCATGCGGACGGGAGCACTGGGTCCTTCGGTGGAGCTCCCAATGGGGTCACGAAACGCTGTGCTGGGTGTGCAGGACGCATGCGGACGGTAGCACTGGGCCCTTCGGTGGAGCTCCCTATGGGGCCACGGAACGCTGTACTGGGTGTGCGGGACGCATGCGGACGGTAGCACTGGGACCTTCGGTGGGGCTCCCTATAGGGCCACGAAACGCTGTACTGGGCGTGCGGGACGCATGCGGACGGTAGCACTGGGACCTTCGGTGGGGCTCTCTATGGGGCCACGAAACGCTGTACTGGGTGTGCGGGACGCATGCGGACGGTAGGGAGGAGGGGGAAGAGGAGGAGAATGAGGAACGCGGGGACCGTCTCTTCAAAACGAGGACCCAGCACCACAGGATGGTTGGGAAAAAAGGGAAGCACGCGGCAGGCGCCGACCGCCTGTTGTCTACTCAAGACTTCAATCACAAGGCAACCGCAGGCGCAGGCTTGTTGTTGTGCGTCTCCTCTCCTCCCCCTCCTCCCCTTCCTTCCGCCCGCCCTCCCTCCCTACACCCTGCGAAATGCTTAAGAAATCATGGGTTAAGAAATTCATAGTCTCAGAACTTGAATAAAAACCCAACATTTCCATTAAACTCTTAGGATTTTCATTGAAAAATTAAGAATGATCGAGACTCTGGCCGAAAACTTAAGTTTTCTTAAGCATCTCCTAAGGTGTACAGCTCCTCCCTCCCTCCCTCCTGCGCAGGCCAGCGTCAGCAGCGCCACGCGCTGCGACGGTCCCCGGTCCCCCCCTTGCCCGTGAGCGGGAGCCCCTCACTCCGACCAAATCACTCCGACGGCAACCGCAGTCACATCCAGCTGGCCTAAGACAGCTGCAGAACGAATTCCAGACTACGTAGGCCAAACCACTCCAGAATGTACACCCGACCAGGCCAAACCATTTAGGAACCGAATCCCGAACGAGGCAGACCTCTGTAGAACCAAGCCACGACCATGCACAACCACTGCAGAATCATGCCTGGCCAATTCTGACCACTGCAAAACCGAAACTTGAACAAGACGCCCCACTGCAAAATCATATTTGACTGGGTCGCGCCCATAGCGGAATCATATTACGCACGCCACGAATGACAAATTCGTCGGCCCAACGGGCCAGAGGCGTGCTAAGATCTCCGGTAACTGGTTAACAATAGTTCTAGTTCGCGCGCGCGGGGCGGCCCCTGGGGGTCCCCCGGCGAAAAGTATCCCGACCGCAGCCCGACCAAGTCTACCCAGAGATGGTTTTGAGAGCCTTTTTTCGACACCCCTTTGAGAGCCTTTTTTCGACACCCCTTTTCGACACCCTCCGAGGGGGGTGCACTCGACTACCCCTCCCCAAGAGGCCCCCAAGAGCCCCCCAAGAGGCCGCCCATGGGGGCCCCAAGACGCCGCCAAGGAGCCGCAAGAGACCCCCAAGAGGCCCCCAAGAGGCCCCTAGGAGGCCCCAAAAAGGCCCCCAAGAGGCTTCAAAGAGGCCCGACAGAGCGCTCGAGGGCCGCTGGAATGAGCGAAGCGATTAAATCATGAAAATCGCAGCCCGCACACCACATGATCCATGAATGTTCGCGATCTAACACATCACACGTTCATGACACCACATAGTATAGCCCCGTGGTTGGTGCACAGCTTTGAAAGGTACCATCGCCTGTATATAGTGATGCCTTGGCTCCACTTCGTTGTTCTTGACAAGCGTCATAACGTAATGAATTTCCGGAATGAATGCATCACCTGTTTTGTTTTTTGTCAAGAATTGCCTGCTGATTGCGGAGAGCAACGCGCATGCTACCATTTCGAAACAGGAGCTCAAATCCGTGTGCCTTGCCTGCTCTGCGATGCGATGCTGATTGTGCGAAACCCAAACATTATCAGCACGGGGTTGAGTGTTGACCGTTCGCCTGACCTGAATGCAGGCTGCGGAGAACGGTGGGCTGCGCCAGGCCCCCTGGGAGCTGCGTGTGGATGCGCAAGGGCGCTGAAATCTGAGTGTGGCTCCGCAAGGGCCGCACGAGAGCCAAGAGCGGCGGTACCAAGGCCCACCTGGGGCCCACCCATCGGTGCCGACGCCGCAGCCGCTTCAACCAGCAAGAGTGTGGCTACCTGGTTACAAGCTATGCTCCCTGCTCCTCCTCTCTGAAGGGTAACGGTGAGAAGGGACTGGCATACGGGGGGACGCCATCGACCTGGAGTCGCCGATACATCGCCCATAGATCGGCGATAGGCCCCCGATAGAAAATCTGCACCCTCCTGGGCGGGGTGGGGCTATCAGACTCCTGTCGGCGATCCATGGGCGAATGGTGGTCGATGCGTCCCCCCCTATGCCTATCCCCCCCCCCCAGATCCTTGCCCCTGACTCCCACACCCTCCACGTGGGAAGCCCTGAGCGGCTGACCGGCAGAGGATGGCGGCCCAATGTCGACATCACCCTGAGGAGGAGGAGGAGGATGGGGAGGAGGAGTTGGAGGAGGAGGAGGAGGAGGAAAAGGATGAGGAGGAGGAGTTGGAGGAGGAGGAGGAGGTGGAGGAGGAGGAGGACGAGGAGGACGAGGACTGCCGCTTCGAGACCAACACTGCGCTGTGATGTGCACCGGCGCTGAAGCATCCCGCGGGCGGCGGACGCATCGGTCTCAAAAGATCACACGCCGTCGCGGGGCATCTCCTGCGCGCGGAGGTCCCGGAGCGGAAACAAACAACTCCGGCGGGTTCCCAGGTGGAGGGCGGCTCTTGTCCGAGGTCACGCCCTCGCCAGAACCTTGTGCACCTGATCCTCAGGCTCAAGCTTCTCCGCTGCTTCAATGATACTTGGGAATCTTCCGAATCGCGCTCTCGCCATGTCTTCACAATGCGAAGCCCCGAAGCCCCGAAGCCATGGCAGAAGACATGATCCTTGTGGAAATATGTCCTGACCCCGGGACCCGGCTTTGCGCTTCAAGTTCTCTTTGTCGACCCACGGGGAGCCCGAAAGGCTCTCGGAGCCCGAAGAAGGCAAGAAGCTTTCGGTCAGCGGCGACGACTGTCACGAAGCGTCAGGCAGCAACAGCCAAAGCGCGGCAGATCCCATTGCGCACCAAAGCCTGTAGGGACCGGAGGCGGTCGCAATCACTTGGTGCTCAATAGCCGCGCTGCTGCCTGGGAGAGACTCCGACAGCGTCGCAAACGCAAGTGTGACTTCACACAGAATTCCTTCGAGTAGCCATGAACGCGCAGTGGAAACCTGGCCGCAAGAACGCGGGTCGAGAGCATGAGCCTCTTCGCCGGAGGCCCAATGCCCCATGGACGCACCATGACGAAGAACATGGTATGGAGGATAGGCCACATCACTGCGAACATAAGAATACCTCTCCAAGCCTTGGGCGGTTGTTCACCCTCGTGCCAACAATACCATCCGTGCTTCGCAATAGAAGGCCTGTAACAGAAACTGCTGTTTCCAATCTTCCGATGGCCGCTTCCTGCGCCGGGGCCGTGGGGTTCTGACCTTCCAAGGTCCAGGCGGAAGTTGTGAAAATTACCCATTGGTCGGAAGAAGTAGGTGGAAACATGAAGTAGGAAGGCGTTGGAAATATATTGGGCTTCCGCACGCCTCCTGAAGAGGAAGGAAGAGGGAAAACCACTCGACTCTTGAAGTAGGAAGGCGCTGAAAGCAGATTGGAATCTTGGAATCCAACAATACCTACTTTCAACGACCGATGGGTATCCCACCGAGTCAAAAACGTTCCAGCCCTCCTCAGTCTTGAACCCTTGGCACGCCCACGCCTCCCACCCCACCCCGCCTTGCGGCGAGCTTTCGCCGCTGCGAAACAGAATAGAAAGGTAGTGTGTGTACCCAAATCGTCCTCCTGCTGCTCACGCACCTTGGGCGTGGCTTAATGGGGGGGTCACAAATGGGGGGGTCAGAAAAGGTCCCCTTTCGTGCCCCTTTCGGGCCCCTCCAGAGCCCCAGGGGGCTCGTTTAGGTACCGTTTGGGTATCTTTTCGGGCCACCCTCGCCGCCCCACGCGGCGCCCAAGCACCTGCGGATTCTGCTCTTCCGGCTCCTCCACATGGGTCCCGACAGAGGGAGGAATCAGATGACGCTACGCTAAGATAATACTTTCGTCTAGGTTCAAGCGCGTCGCGGACGGATCTTGATGCGCGTCCAAGCCGACAAGACGATACCAGTACCAACGATAGCATACTGACTCGTGCAAGGCCCGATGCTTCACTTGGACCAGTCTGACGAGAGCCAGACAACACGACAGCACACGCTGTAAAAGCAAGAGCGAGTGCAGGGTAGAGGTAAGCCCGCTCGGTCATTCCGCTAAGCAACAAACGAGACGGACTGCGACACGGATTCACAAAAAGGTGGAAGATGTGCGCTCCGCGCCTAATTATCCCCGCACTGGGCTCTTGAACACCTATCTAAACAAATAGCTGGTTGGGATGCCTCCGGCAACAAAAGGGCGGCAGACGGGCGTGGCCAGTCCTCACATCCCAGTCCGTACCTCAACCTGCGAGCCGATACAGTCCTGAGCAGAGCATTAGCCCACGCTCTCATCAGAAATCTCACGCTTTCGCGCGGCCCCCTGGAAAACCAGGTTCAGGCTGGCCTCTCTGGAGGTGGGAGGCGTCTACAAACACTGCGACAAATGCGAGCAATGCCAGTCTATACCGATGCGGCTGGCCGCAGAGGAACATGTCCGCCGCCCCAAGCGCGCACAAAACTGTCGAGAGTAACGTGCCGTCCTGCGATTGCTTTTTCCACTGGCTCGGTGTGGTCTCCTGACCGCAGAACTCCAACGAGGTCCCGCAAGCAACCGCCAAGATCCCTCCGATGATGTACTCGACAAGCCGCTCCGAGGCATGCAGCATCAAAATAATATCACACGTGGCAAATAACATGTTTGCGATTGTGGATCCCGAGCAATAAGATTTTGCACTCCGCATGTTCGCACACGGGATGCAAAATCCGCCTACCCTGTCGGAACATGTGAGACGTTTTTCCGTTTCAGCCGTCGTCGTCGTCGCTTCCCCCCTTGACGTTTTTCCGTTCGGGTCGTCGTCGCCGTCGCCGCTCTCCCTGCTACCCTGGGCGCACGCTCCAACCAAAGAGAATTCGAAAAACGTGGTCATCGAGTCGCTCTATCCCAAGCGTCTCAGCCACAAGGGAATCGAAGAACGACATCGAGTCGAAGAGAAACCTCTTCCCTTTGAGATCCCTCCCCCGCCGAGAGTCCCGGAGGGTGGTCTCGGGGGGTCCCAGGGAAGGCCTCGGGGTTGTGACCCACGATGGGGCGAGCTCCCGTCGGGACGGGTGAGATCCAATCGAGACGGGCAAGATCCCAACGGTATAGAAGACCAGGACGGGAGAGACCCCGACGGGCCAACAAAAACGCTCTTTGAAGTGCTCCTTGCATGATGATCTGTGCCGTGGCAAGTGACTGTTAGGGCTCACGCAATTTGCATCGTGGCGCCCAACTGCCGTCTGTGTTGGAGTCTATAATACCACAAGGCAGCCCCATATGGCCTCAAGACGCCCCAAGACGGCCTCATGATGTCTCAGGAAGCTCCCCAACACGGCTCGGCTCCAAGAGGCCTTCCAGGAGGGCTTACATAAGACAACATTCATTGGAGTCCTCTTGGTAACCACATTGGAAAGCTATGGATTTGGGTGCTGGCCAATGTGTTCTCATGTAACTCAATTGGAATCTTATCGGGAAGCAAATGAGAAGCTCTGAATCCAGAAGCTGGCACAGCCTAACTGACGTTAAATTGAAACCTGATCGACACTGAAACGAACCATTTCTGATCTGGGGCCCACGTCCAATTAAATGGCAATCCTATTGGAACCCTCAAACCATTAACCACACGTTCTGGATCTGGGATACGGTCCGTTCTAACTGACACGCAATGAAAATAAAGGTAACGCTGTAATAACAACTCGCCAGCCAAGGCTTTTCATTAAACTCAGTTGAGGCCTGGACAGAAGACGCATCAAAAACCATTGATCAAAAATGTTACACACTCTGACTGAAGTTCTATTGACATGTAATCAACACTGAAGTGAAAACGATCTGGATTGGCGCACGCGTCCATTTAAATAAACATCGATGCAACACACAAGCACTGAAGCAACACATTCTGAACAGAAAAGGGGCCATATTTCCGAAGGGTAGTTGGGCGGTAGACCCAAACGTCTTATGAAAAAATACATATGTGTGGCGCAAACCATTAAATAAGACAGAACCGTAAACTCAAATGTTCGGACAAACGTCCCACCCATCCACCCACCAACCCACGCGCAACTTGCAAACAAAAAAGGGCGTGTGTGTGAAGTTACTGCGAGCAATTTCCAACAAACGCACTGCTGCGTGGAGTGTGCCCACATAGATCTAATTCACGGCGAATGACCATGATGAGGGAAATCTCGGCGACGACGGTGACGATGATGGCGATGATCGCAAAAGCGACGGCAAAATACAATGACGAAGATCATCACTGGCACCGGATGGTGCTGATCATGAGAATGGCGATGATGACTGGCTTGGTCCAGCCCAAACGACTGTGCTGATCAAGATGATACAGGAATGTCTGGCGTACTTTTCAAAAGTAAGGGATCCTCCACTGAATTGGTTTACCCCAAGCGGACTTTTTTGTGAGGTCTATAACACATACGGGCAATGCTCGTAGACCTACGAGCATTTCGAGCATCGTTCGCAGGTCCGATGAACACGCCAACCTGACGCAAAGCAATGTTGTAATCGATCCCCTGTTCGAGATGCACTGGGACAATGGAGTCCCAAAGGTGTTTCGAAACATGCGCCTTGAAAAGCTCGGAAAAGTGTTTGTGTTGGTCGAATGTCGACGCGGATAGACGCGCGCGTGGCCAAACTGTACTAGCTGCCAAAACCGGCGGGGGCGCGATGCTGGTGAATGTTTTCAGCAAGCGCGCGCGCGTGGCCAGCATGGTCTCCCTTGGACAGGTTGCCGGACACTTGTTGCTACGAGTTTGGCGTTACGTCGGGAATGCTCTCCTACATGCGGATTTTAGAAGACAAATATTGCATACACAAAAAAACACGATAGCCCAAACACGAACAGTCGTCCCCATAATAGTTTGTGCTATGATTGACAATCTTCTTGTTGAAATGCATGCCCGACTTAATTTTAGCAGACTCGCGCGCACAATTCTCGTTCTGAACCGGCAGTGAACAACATAAGGCGTTGGATAACCCTTTAATGGTGATCATGTGGTATACGTACACCCTGCGAAATGCTTAAGAAATCATGGGTTAAGAAATTCATAGTCTCAGAAATTGAATAGAACCCAGAACTTCTATCAAAATCTTGGGATCTACATTGAAAAAGTTAAGAATAATCGAGACTCTGGACGAAAACTTAGGTTTTCTTAAGCATCGCCTAAGGTGTACAACGCGCTGGTTCTGGACGCGCCGTGACATGCGCGCGGCGGCGCCCCCGCGTGGCCCGCAAGTTCGTGGTTGCGGCAATGGGGTCCTGTAGAACCGACTCTAAAACTCAGCGCACGTGCACCGCGCAGTGGTCTGCGACAGTCGGGTCGGGCGAAAGGGGGGGATAGCAAAGGGGGGGGTTGAGAATCAGCTCACGTAGCTGATTTTCGCGGCGCCTCCCGGCGCCCGAGGCGCCCATGTATCGAGGAATGGGCCTTTCGGTGGGGCCGAAACCAGCTGCATGCAGCAAATTTCGTAACCCCCCCTTTCCCAATCCCCCCCTTTCGCCCGGCCCGAGTCTTGTAGAACCGACTCTAAAACTCAGCGCACGTGCACCGCGCAGTGGTCTGCGACAGGGATGGAAAAAAAGGGGGTCTACATACACAAGGTCCGGTTGGCATGCGAGCCCCTGCGGTGCAGTATCTGTTGTACACAAGAGCAGATTCTGCTACATAGGGTGAGCGGCAGGGAGGTCAACAGCGAACACATGGCATGCGGAAGGGCACGGGTCAGCATGTGTTACAAGCCTCGAACGTATCCCTATCCCTGAGATGGACACGCCAAAAGGCGATGACAATCTTAGGGATTCGCCCTCAACAAATAAGGACACCCCTAAGATTGGCATCATGATGAGGTGCCCAGCACAGGGATAGGGATATGTTCCAGGCTGGTAAATGTGGGGGATCTCGGGGCGCCAATCTTCTTGAGGAGCCTTTTTTTGCCAGCGGCCGCACGAGGCAGACGGCGGTCGAGTAGCGGCGGGGCGCGCCGGGGGCACAACAGGGCACAATTGGGCACGACGGGCGCGAGGAGGCGCGAGGAAGCTGGAGGGGCCGGGAGTGCAAAGGGAACCACACATTCAGGCAGGGAAGGTCTGCCGTGGAGCCACACATTCAGGAGACGCGAGGAAGCCGGAGGGCCAGGGAGCCTCACATTCAGGAGCCACACATTCAGGAGACACACACTCAGGAGACGCGAGGAAGCCGGAGAGGCCGGGGGGGCAAGGGAGCCACACTCGGGCAGCGGAGGTCTGCGTGCGCGTGCCGGAGTGCAGGGTCGTTGAAGGGCAGTCTCGTCAGGACATTTGAGCCGACCAGCCACAGCTGGGGGAGCTGTGGTCCTTAATTACCCCCCTGGGGGAACCCCTCGCATCGAGGATCTCTCGAGAGGGAGCGTCGACATCGATGGGCCCCCCAGGCGGGGCAAGAACCGCAGCTCCCCCAGCTGTGGCTGGCCTGACGAGCGCATGCCGAAGCGCGGCCCCTCGCACGGGGCAGCGCCGGGCGGCCCACGGGGTGGAAAGCCAGACAGACGCCAGCCAGCGCACGGGGGCGGCGGCGAGGCGGCGACGGCCGCCTCGTGCTCCTCCTCCTCCTCCTCCTCCTCCTCCTCCTCCTCCTCCTCCTCCTCCTCCTCCTCCTCCTCCTCCTCCTCCTCCTCCTCCTCCTCCTCCCTCCTCCTCCTCCTCCTCCTCCTCCTCCTCCTCCTCCTCCTCCTCCTCCTGCTCCTCCTCCTCCTCCTCCTCCCCCCCCTCCCCCTCCCCCTCCCGCTTCTTCCCCCCCAAAATGGTGCACGTCTTTCTCTTCCGTGTGGGCTCCTCCGCACGTCGGCCTCAGGGCGGCCACACCCAGAGCTTTTCACGATACCTGGGTCCAGAGCTGCGGGGGTTGGCGGTGGAGGCCCCGTGGCATTTGTGATGCTCTGCAATGCCTAGTCCTACTTAACCGACGGCGTCGCTGCCGTAGTTGCCTTCATGTACTGGGCCCCGTCATCGCCCGTGAATGCCACGGCGCTGCGGCCCGGCTGCTGCCATGGTTCCCGCTGTCAGGGCCGGCCGCGCCAGCGCGCTCAGGTCGGGAGTTTTCCGCCTCTGAGTGGCCCCGCCTCCTCCCCCCTCCAAGGCAGCCTTGTCCGTCCTTTCCCCTCGCTTGCACGCTGGCCAATCCGCTTCTCGGTGCCCCCGTTTGGCTTTTGCAACCAACCATTCTGCCTCGCCGCCGACGGAAAAAGTGTAATGCTCTGTCAGTCTGTTTTCGACGTTGCTTCGCAACTGTTCCGAATTTGACTCCGAATCCCCTCTCGCCCTCCCCGTCCAACGAAGATCCAAGAGATTTGTGCGGGGCCTCTGAAAGCTTACGTTGAAGTATGTCGTTGATTCTGTTTCGATCACCCCCGCCTCCGCTTGCTCCACTGCAGGTTCGTGTCGTGCCGACTTCAACATTGGTGCCTGTCACCGCGGGGGGTCGTTCAACCTTGAACGAGCGGCCGTTTCCGAAATGCGCGATCGTTCAATATCGACCGATTCTGTTCCGCCTCCGGCGCTCAACGTTGAACGCTGGCGGCGGGATCGCCGCCACTCGACACTGCGGCAGCACAGGATTGGATGAACGTTTTTGGGCTTGAGCCAGAGAGGGTAACAGTACACCAAGCACA